AGTCCTATAGCATGTGAACTATATTTGTTTACTTCGCCATTATTGTAATCGTAACCGAAGCCAAGAAGGTACATTTGTTTGGAGTTTTCCAAGCCTTGACTTATAGCCTTTTGACGCACTAATTCTCTATCAACCTCGGAAGATTGGAGATTGTTAGCAAAGCTTGCTATTTGCATAGTACCTTGAAGAACGCTATTTATAACATTCATCATAGAACCTTGTTCGGAATTATAGGCAGGAGCTTCTGGATTATTGAAAGAGGAAAGATTAGCGTCATTTCCAATACCTTCTGTATAGAATGGATTTTGACCAATAGCCTGCAAACGTTTCAAACGTTCAGCTTCTGAATTATAGTGCTGATTATAGTTGGAATCATACCAAGAACGATAACCTTCGTACCACTTCTCTTGTTGCTCTTTCCAAGCAAAGTACAAATTAAGCTCTCTATCGGACATTCCAGCAGTAGCCTTTTTTCCCTGCAATTCTTGATAACGTTGTCGGGACGTATCTGGAGCAGCAGAGAGGTTATAACCACTTTTATAATCGGTATTGTAACCAAGATTAGAGTATTCTTCTGGCATAAGAAAAAAAAAATTAAGTTGTAAATAATAGGGGGCTTGCGCCCCCATTGCCAACGCACATTATAGGCTAACGCACAGCGTATATTTTTTGACACTTACGTGTCATTTCGTAGATATTAATCAAGTAAATATCCTACGACTCAGTTTGCGCAGCAGCAGCAGCTTCAGCTTCTTTTTCCTTCGCTAAAGCTTCGGCAGCAGCAGCTTCCGCTTCTTGCTGCATTGCAAACGCATTGAGGTCTGCCATTGTTGCCTGACTAGCAGCCAAACGAGCAGAACCAGCTTCTTCGGAATCATCGAAGAGAGGTTTGCCGACCATAGGCAAACCTTCTCCAGCAAGATTAGCTTCGAGAAGCTCGATAAGACTTGGAGCAAGTCCAGGGATAGTGAGGGTAGTACCTTCTACCACATGAGCACCGAAATTAGTTTCGGACTTTGAATTAAGTTTATATTTCATATTGCAACGTTGTTTTTTTTGAAGCCTGCCTTGAGGGTCTATCGCAAGCGAAACGCCCTCAAGTACTGGGCTTCAATGTCCTTCGGACGGGGTGTATAGCGTCGAACTGCGTTCTCCGGTCGTGTTTCATTAGCTAGGTTAGAGAAACAACGCCTATTACGGACGTTTTCCCTAGCGGGAAGCCGTTGCGTATACGGCTCAAACGCTATACGCGTTTGTGTACTAGTAAAGGTGCATCGAATCAGGCTCATAGCTGATAGGGCGTGACATCTTCATGTTATGGTAAACATCGACATACAGCGGGCAATCCTTTGCAGTCAAATCCTGCGCACTGAAAATGCGATTGAACTCGGAAACCTTCAAGAAGTTATCATTTAGCGGAGGAAGGGCAGCGAAGTTGCGGTTAAGGTGCCAAGCCAATTCTGGCACATTATCGCCACGAAAGTCACCCGTACAGCGAGAAGGATGCGAACGATACTCGGAATATCTAGCTGATAACCCCACGTACCTTATCGTTAAAGCCATCGCAAAACAGCTCTCCATTGAGGACATCTTGCCAACCAATATTATTGAACTCTGGGGAAGCGAAATCGAAGATGTTCTTTTTGAAGAAACTGCGCTGCATGCCACGACAATAGCCATTATCTGGAATAACGGAAAGAAGTGTCATATAATAACCATGTTCCTCGAAGAACTCAGTACGTGAATGGGCATTGTCTACAGCTATACCTTTGCCAGCGAAATCACCCAAGACCAGAGTTACCTTGTACATCCGTAGCGGTTAGAGTTAGAAAGCACTTCGGAAATTTGAGTATATGATGATGAACCACCACAAAACATAGGTATTTGTATACGTTGGTCTGAATAACGCACACCATAGTGACCTGCAAGTTTCTCACGTATGCGAGTACCGAAAGTATTGTCCGTTTCAAAGTAACGCTGCATCATCTCTTTTTTCCAGAGATCACGTACAGTTGTCGTTTCATTCAACTTCGGATAAGATGAGTAATTAGCAAACAAATTACCAGTATTATGCTCAACTAATACAGATGCATCCTGAGAAGGTGTAATATCAACCGAAAAAGGACGATTAAGTACATACATTTGAGGACCATTCTGGGGCTCTGGACGTGCAGTATTAAAGTTAGTCTTTTGTATAGGCTACATTGAACAACTGAATCTTAGCTTCTTGTCCATCTGGAAGCCACTCCGATGAAGGTAGATAATGACCCTCAGCACATGCAACCACGATAAAGCTCTATAATCTCATCTATATCGTTCATAGTTGCCTTCTGGAGATTGCAATCGCAGTACCAATCACGAACAATACAAAGGTAAGACAAGAAAGGGAGAGGATTATCTATCATCATTTTATGAATCCAAATATCTTCATCATCCTGCGTAGTGTCACAAAGTCCATAGACATCATAACCAAGATAGTCGAAAATTCCGTTTATAAACGGATTAACTTTTGTGCCTGTAACTAAGACACCTGCAAAGGCTGGATATCTACTTGACCATTGAGAAACTTCTCGTAGTTATCTTCGCCCAGAATGATGCGAAAAGGAGTGAAAAAATTGCTCGTATGAATCTTCACACGATGCATCAAAGGGAATTTGAGAGGAGCGAAACGGATAAACACCTCGGTGTTATGTTTCAGCAGCTTGTCGGAAGGGATAATTTCCTCAACACCGACTGGAGTAAGGAAACCTCCACGCATAGAGGTTTTCAAGTCGTTAGACAAATCAAATGTCGAGTGTTTTACTCGGGGCATTTGAAGAGGGCGATTAAACCAATTAGGCATAATTAAAATTTTAGTAATGTTTTTAGAATAGGTACTTCCGCATAATACTGCGATATTGTACTTTGGAACAAATGTCATTTCAAGAAAAACATAAAAGAATCTACTTCTACTCATTATCTAAGTGGGTGTAAATAACATTCATAATTATTGCATACATCGCAGGGAATAGTAGGGCAATTTGTACAATCAAACTTATGAGGTTGAAACTTAGTTTTTACGAATTCCACCAATCGGAGGAAGCTTCTTTTTTTTCCATGTCTTTTCATTTTCGTGGCATACTTAATTGAACATCTGGAGATACATCCCAGTTAGTGGGATTGTTAGTAGTAATTGTAACGCTAGTACTTGTAGATTCAGCGCCATTTCGAATAGTAGCCTTCGTAACACTTCCACAAGAGGAAGCAAACAAAGCGGTAAGAAAGGCAATAAGGGCTGTAAGAACAGCTTTGCCAAGCTCAACGAGAGCAGATTTAAATTTAGGATTGTTAACACACATATGTAAACACAAAAAAATAATATAAGTGCCAATAGGGATACTTCACGTACATAAGTTACACAATTTATAGTATGTTAATTTACTGATAGTAAACTATTTTCACTTGTTTACGCTTAAGTTTTTTTCAGTTGTAAACGATGCTTAAATATTTCCATATCTCTGGAGAAATCTTTTTTGAGATAAGTACCGCCTAACCCGTCATCAACCTCTTTAGAGTGAATGCGCCGAGAAAGGGCAAGACCTTTTTGTATTTCTTTTTTGTTAGCTTCATAGGATGCCTGAAGTTCAGCCTTTAAAGAAGGGTCTATATGATTTTTTATATACGCATCAAAGGTAACACTTTTTGAATCAAAAACAAACTTATCTCGAATATTTCCGTCATTATGTATATATTCATTGAGTATGGTATTGCTTCAATACCAAATCCGTTACTTATTCGTGTCCAAGGTTTACGACATCCCATTTGTAACGCTTACCTTCATCGTTACACAAACCTAGATAATACATGTCATCTTTAAGGGACATACTTGGCAGGCATATTGAACACGTTTATCGTTAAGCGTAGCACATTGAATAAAACCATATCTATCATTCCAATAATTACCCAGAACGCAAGATATCTCTTGTAAAGACACATCTTCTTTCATGAGAAGAATCATATGATAATGCGGTCTATGTGTTTCAGTACCATACTCACAACACACGAAGTAACGAAAGTGATATCCTCTATCGTCACGGAGATACTTAAACAAATTCCTTGAGGTGTTTCGGCTCAAAACATGGATACCATTCGCCAGAGTGCTTATTAGGAGGTAAGCCCAACACAATGCTTCATCATTATAGGTTAGAGTAAGGAAGAAGTACGTCCACCATTCTTCTTGTTAAAGGCAGCAGCAAGCATAAATCTATCTCCCTTACTTTTGTCTATAATTTTGCCTGCAATACAGGACATTTGCCACATGGATAAAGCGTACCATGTACGTTAGTTGGATGCAGACAAGTAGCCATTACTGAAATGTTTGATAGGTGTTTCCACCTTTTATGTTAAACTTCATATTCATGTTAGACATAAGTATAAATCCTTCAAGCGCAGTCCTGGCAGATTTCAGCAACCCAATCTGGCATACCAAGTTTCTTAATACGTTCGGATAAATTCGCTTGAATGTTTTCGGATTGTATTCAACCGTACCAAGCATTTGCTGTTGAACATAAGGCCATACCTTTTCTTCAAATTCCTTTTGTTATCCGCAGGAAGACCACTTAAGGCGGACTGCATGCGATAAAGGTTAGCGAGTGAAGGCATAATATTGTTAAGTTGGTAATTACGCAAGTCACCGCTAGACTGAAGATTTGCTATCTGCCCAGAAGTCAAGTGTGCAAAAGGTGTATCCGCCAAATATGGAATAGTATCCTGCATTTTGAAAAATGCTTTTCCATTACGTGAATTCTCTGGGAGTCCTATAGCATGTGAACTATATTTGTTTACTTCGCCATTATTGTAATCGTAACCGAAGCCAAGAAGGTACATTTGTTTGGAGTTTTCCAAGCCTTGACTTATAGCCTTTTGACGCACTAATTCTCTATCAACCTCGGAAGATTGGAGATTGTTAGCAAAGCTTGCTATTTGCATAGTACCTTGAAGAACGCTATTTATAACATTCATCATAGAACCTTGTTCGGAATATAGGCAGGAGCTTCTGGATTATTGAAAGAGGAAAGATTAGCGTCATTTCCAATACCTTCTGTATAGAATGGATTTTGACCAATAGCCTGCAAACGTTTCAAACGTTCAGCTTCTGAATTATAGTGCTGATTATAGTTGAATCATACCAAGAACGATAACCTTCGTACCACTTCTCTTGTTGCTCTTTCCAAGCAAAGTACAAATTAAGCTCTCTATCGGACATTCCAGCAGTAGCCTTTTTTCCCTGCAATTCTTGATAACGTTGTCGGGACGTATCTGGAGCAGCAGAGGTTATAACCACTTTTATAATCGGTATTGTAACCAAGATTAGAGTATTCTTCTGGCATAAGAAAAAAAAAATTAAGTTGTAAATAATAGGGGGCTTGCGCCCCCATTGCCAACGCACATTATAGGCTAACGCACAGCGTATATTTTTTTGACACTTACGTGTCATTTCGTAGGATATTAATCAAGTAAATATCCTACGACTCAGTTTGCGCAGCAGCAGCAGCTTCAGCTTCTTTTTCCTTCGCTAAAGCTTCGGCAGCAGCAGCTTCCGCTTCTTGCTGCATTGCCAAACGCATTGAGGTCTGCCATTGTTGCCTGACTAGCAGCCAAACGAGCAGAACCAGCTTCTTCGGATCATCGAAGAGAGGTTTGCCGACCATAGGCAACCTTCTCCAGCAAGATTAGCTTCGAGAAGCTCGATAAGACTTGGAGCAAGTCCAGGGATAGTGAGGGTAGTACCTTCTACCACATGAGCACCGAAATTAGTTTCGGACTTTGAATTAAGTTATTCATATTGCAACGTTGTTTTTTTTGAAGCCTGCCTTGAGGGTCTATCGCAAGCGAAACGCCCTCAAGTACTGGGCTTCAATGTCCTTCGGACGGGGTGTATAGCGTCGAACTGCGTTCTCCGGTCGTGTTTCATTAGCTAGGTTAGAGAAACAACGCCTATTACGGACGTTTCCCTAGCGGGAAGCCGTTGCGTATACGGCTCAAACGCTATACGCGTTGGTGTACTAGTAAAGGTGCATCGAATCAGGCTCATAGCTGATAGGGCGTGACATCTTCATGTATGGTAAACATCGACATACAGCGGCAATCCTTTGCAGTCAAATCCTGCGCACTGAAAATGCGATTGAACTCGGAAACCTTCAAGAAGTTATCATTTAGCGGAGGAAGGGCAGCGAAGTTGCGGTTAAGGTGCCAAGCCAATTCTGGCACATTATCGCCACGAAAGTCACCCGTACAGCGAGAAGGATGCGAACGATACTCGGAATATCTAGGCTGATAACCCCACGTACCTTTATCGTTAAAGCCATCGCAAAACAGCTCTCCATTGAGGACATCTTGCCAGCCAATATTATTGAACTCTGGGGAAGCGAAATCGAAGATGTTCTTTTTGAAGAAACTGCGCTGCATGCCACGACAATAGCCATTATCTGGAATAACGGAAAGAAGTGTCATATAATAACCATGTTCCTCGAAGAACTCAGTACGTGAATGGGCATTGTCTACAGCTATACCTTTGCCAGCGAAATCACCAAGACCAGAGTTACCTTGTACATCCGTAGCGTTAGAGTTAGAAAGCACTTCGGAATTTGAGTATATGATGATGACCACCACAAAACATAGGTATTTGTATACGTTGGTCTGAATAACGCACACCATAGTGACCTGCAAGTTTCTCACGTATGCGAGTACCGAAAGTATTGTCCGTTTCAAAGTAACGCTGCATCATCTCTTTTTTCCAGAGATCACGTACAGTTGTCGTTTCATTCAACTTCGGATAAGATGAGTAATTAGCAAACAAATTACCAGTATTATGCTCAACTATACAGATGCATCCTGAGAAGGTGTAATATCAACCGAAAAAGGACGATTAAGTACATACATTTGAGGACCATTCTGGGGCTCTGGACGTGCAGTATTAAGTAGTCTTTGTATAGGCTACATTGAACAACTGAATCTTAGCTTCTTGTCCATCTGGAAGCCACTCCGATGAAGGTAGATAATGACCCTCAGCACATGCAACACGATAAAGCTCTATAATCTCATCTATATCGTTCATAGTTGCCTTCTGGAGATTGCTATCGCAGTACCAATCACGAACAATACAAAGGTAAGACAAGAAAGGGAGAGGTTATCTATCATCATTTTATGAATCCAAATATCTTCATCATCCTGCGTAGTGTCACAAAGTCCATAGACATCATAACCAAGATAGTCGAAAATTCCGTTTATAAACGGATTAACTTTTGTGCCTGTAACTAAAGACACCTGCAAAGGCTGGATATCTACTTGACCATTGAGAAACTTCTCGTAGTTATCTTCGCCCAGAATGATGCGAAAAGGAGTGAAAAAATTGCTCGTATGAATCTTCACACGATGCATCAAAGGGAATTTGAGAGGAGCGAAACGGATAAACACCTCGGTGTTATGTTTCAGCAGCTTGTCGGAAGGGATAATTTCCTCAACACCGACTGGAGTAAGGAAACCTCCACGCATAGAGGTTTTCAAGTCGTTAGACAAATCAAATGTCGAGTGTTTTACTCGGGGCATTTGAAGAGGGCGATTAAACCAATTAGGCATAATTAAAATTTTAGTAATGTTTTAGAATAGGGTACTTCCGCATAATACTGCGATATTGTACTTTTGGAACAAATGTCATTTCAAGAAAAACATAAAAGAATCTACTTTACTCATTATCTAAGTGGGTGTAAATAACATTCATAATTATTGCATACATCGCAGGGAATAGTAGGGCAATTTGTACAATCAAACTTATGAGGTTGAAACTTAGTTTTTACGAATTCCACCAAATCGGAGGAAGCTTCTTTTTTTTCCATGTCTTTTCATTTTCGTGGCATACTTAATTGAACATCTGGAGATACATCCCAGTTAGTGGGATTGTTAGTAGTAATTGTAACGCTAGTACTTGTAGATTCAGCGCCATTTCGAATAGTAGCCTTCGTAACACTTCCACAAGAGGAAGCAAACAAAGCGGTAAGAAAGGCAATAAGGGCTGTAAGAACAGCTTTGCCAAGCTCAACGAGAGCAGATTTAAATTTAGGATTGTTAACACACATATGTAAACACAAAAAATAATAAGTGCCAATAGGGATACTTCACGTACATAAGTTACACAATTTATAGTATGTTAATTTACTGATAGTAAACTATTTACACTTGTTTACGCTTAAGTTTTTTCAGTTGTAAACGATGCTTAAATATTTCCATATCTCTGGAGAAATCTTTTTTGAGATAAGTACCGCCTAACCCGTCATCAACCTCTTTAGAGTGAATGCGCCGAGAAAGGGCAAGACCTTTTTGTATTTCTTTTTGTTAGCTTCATAGGATGCCTGAAGTTCAGCCTTTAAAGAAGGGTCTATATGATTTTTTATATACGCATCAAAGGTAACACTTTTTGAATCAAAAACAAACTTATCTCGAATATTTCCGTCATTATGTATATATTCATTGAGGTATGGTATTGCATCAATACCAAATCCGTTACTTATTCGTGTCCAAGGTTTACGTACATCCCATTTGTAACGCTTACCTTCATCGTTACACAAACCTAGATAATACATGTCATCTTTAAGGACATACTTGGCAGCATATTGAACACGTTTATCGTTAAGCGTAGCACATTGAATAAAACCATATCTATCATTCCAATAATTACCCAGAACGCAAGATATCTCTTGTAAAGACACATCTTCTTTCATGAGAAGAATCATATGATAATGCGGTCTATGTGTTTCAGTACCATACTCACAACACACGAAGTAACGAAAGTGATATCCTCTATCGTCACGGAGATACTTAAACAAATTCTTGAGGTGTTTCGGCTCAAACATGGATACCATTCGCCAGAGTGCTTATTAGGAGGTAAAGCCCAACACAATGCTTCATCATTATAGGTTAGAGTAAGGAAGAAGTTACGTCCACCATTCTTCTTGTTAAAGGCAGCAGCAAGCATAAATCTATCTCCCTTACTTTGTCTATAATTTTGCCTGCATACAGGACATTTGCCACATGGATAAAGCGTACCATGTACGTTAGTTGGATGCAGACAAGTAGCCATTACTGAAATGTTTGATAGGTGTTTCCACCTTTTATGTTAAACTTCATATTCATGTTAGACATAAGTATAAATCCTTCAAGCGCAGTCTGGCAGATTTCAGCAACCCAATCTGGCATACCAAGTTTCTTAATACGTTCGGATAAATTCGCTTGAATTGTTTTCGGATTGTATTCAACCGTACCAAGCATTTGCTGTTGAACATAAGGCCATACCTTTCTTCAAATTCCTTTTGTTTATCCGCAGGAAGACCACTTAAGGCGGACTGCATGCGATAAAGGTTAGCGAGTGAAGGCATAATATTGTTAAGTTGGTAATTACGCAAGTCACCGCTAGACTGAAGATTTGCTATCTGCCCAGAAGTCAAGTGTGCAAAAGGTGTATCCGCCAAATATGGAATAGTATCCTGCATTTGAAAAATGCTTTTCATTACGTGAATTCTCTGGGAGTCCTATAGCATGTGAACTATATTTGTTTACTTCGCCATATTGTAATCGTAACCGAAGCCAAGAAGGTACATTTGTTTGGAGTTTTCCAAGCCTTGACTTATAGCCTTTTGACGCACTAATTCTCTATCAACCTCGGAAGATTGGAGATTGTTAGCAAAGCTTGCTATTTGCATAGTACCTTGAAGAACGCTATTTATAACATTCATCATAGAACCTTGTTCGGAATTATAGGCAGGAGCTTCTGGATTATTGAAAGAGGAAAGATTAGCGTCATTTCCAATACCTTCTGTATAGAATGGATTTTGACCAATAGCCTGCAAACGTTTCAAACGTTCAGCTTCTGAATTATAGTGCTGATTATAGTTGGAATCATACCAAGAACGATAACCTTCGTACCACTTCTCCTTGTTGCTCTTTCCAAGCAAAGTACAAATTAAGCTCTCTATCGGACATTCCAGCAGTAGCCTTTTTTCCCTGCAATTCTTGATAACGTTGTCGGGACGTATCTGGAGCAGCAGAGAGGTTATAACCACTTTTATAATCGGTATTGTAACCAAGATTAGAGTATTCTTCTGGCATAAGAAAAAAAAATTAAGTTGTAAATAATAGGGGGCTTGCGCCCCCATTGCCAACGCACATTATAGGCTAACGCACAGCGTATATTTTTTGACACTTACGTGTCATTTCGTAGGATATTAATCAAGTAAATATCCTACGACTCAGTTTGCGCAGCAGCAGCAGCTTCAGCTTCTTTTTCCTTCGCTAAAGCTTCGGCAGCAGCAGCTTCCGCTTCTTTCTTGCTGCATTGCAAACGCATTGAGGTCTGCCATTGTTGCCTGACTAGCAGCCAAACGAGCAGAACCAGCTTCTTCGGAATCATCGAAGAGAGGTTTGCCGACCATAGGCAAACCTTCTCCAGCAAGATTAGCTTCGAGAAGCTCGATAAGACTTGGAGCAAGTCCAGGGATAGTGAGGGTAGTACCTTCTACCACATGAGCACCGAAATTAGTTTCGGACTTTGAATTAAGTTTATATTTCATATTGCAACGTTGTTTTTTTTGAAGCCTGCCTTGAGGGTCTATCGCAAGCGAAACGCCCTCAAGTACTGGGCTTCAATGTCCTTCGGACGGGGTGTATAGCGTCGAACTGCGTTCTCCGGTCGTGTTTCATTAGCTAGGTTAGAGAAACAACGCCTATTACGGACGTTTCCCTAGCGGGAAGCCGTTGCGTATACGGCTCAAACGCTATACGCGTTTGTGTACTAGTAAAGGTGCATCGAATCAGGCTCATAGCTGATAGGGCGTGACATCTTCATGTTATGGTAAACATCGACATACAGCGGGCAATCCTTTGCAGTCAAATCCTGCGCACTGAAAATGCGATTGAACTCGGAAACCTTCAAGAAGTTATCATTTAGCGGAGGAAGGGCAGCGAAGTTGCGGTTAAGGTGCCAAGCCAATTCTGGCACATTATCGCCACGAAAGTCACCCGTACAGCGAGAAGGATGCGAACGATACTCGGAATATCTAGGCTGATAACCCCACGTACCTTTATCGTTAAAGCCATCGCAAAACAGCTCTCCATTGAGGACATCTTGCCAACCAATATTATTGAACTCTGGGGAAGCGAAATCGAAGATGTTCTTTTTGAAGAAACTGCGCTGCATGCCACGACAATAGCCATTATCTGGAATAACGGAAAGAAGTGTCATATAATAACCATGTTCCTCGAAGAACTCAGTACGTGAATGGGCATTGTCTACAGCTATACCTTTGCCAGCGAAATCACCAAGACCAGAGTTACCTTGTACATCCGTAGCGTTAGAGTTAGAAAGCACTTCGGAAATTTGAGTATATGATGATGAACCACCACAAAACATAGGTATTTGTATACGTTGGTCTGAATAACGCACACCATAGTGACCTGCAAGTTTCTCACGTATGCGAGTACCGAAAGTATTGTCCGTTTCAAAGTAACGCTGCATCATCCTCTTTTTTCCAGAGATCACGTACAGTTGTCGTTTCATTCAACTTCGGATAAGATGAGTAATTAGCAAACAAATTACCAGTATTATGCTCAACTAATACAGATGCATCCTGAGAAGGTGTAATATCAACCGAAAAAAGGACGATTAAGTACATACATTTGAGGACCATTCTGGGGCTCTGGACGTGCAGTATTAAAGTAGTCTTTTGTATAGGCTACATTGAACAACTGAATCTTAGCTTCTTGTCCATCTGGAAGCCACTCCGATGAAGGTAGATAATGACCCTCAGCACATGCAACACGATAAAGCTCTATAATCTCATCTATATCGTTCATAGTTGCCTTCTGGAGATTGCTATCGCAGTACCAATCACGAACAATACAAAGGTAAGACAAGAAAGGGAGAGGATTATCTATCATCATTTTATGAATCCAAATATCTTCATCATCCTGCGTAGTGTCACAAAGTCCATAGACATCATAACCAAGATAGTCGAAAATTCCGTTTATAAACGGATTAACTTTTGTGCCTGTAACTAAAGGACACCTGCAAAGGCTGGATATCTACTTGACCATTGAGAAACTTCTCGTAGTTATCTTCGCCCAGAATGATGCGAAAAGGATGTGAAAAAATTGCTCGTATGAATCTTCACACGATGCATCAAAGGGAATTTGAGAGGAGCGAAACGGATAAACACCTCGGTGTTATGTTTCAGCAGCTTGTCGGAAGGGATATTTCCTCAACACCGACTGGAGTAAGGAAACCTCCACGCATAGAGGTTTTCAAGTCGTTAGACAAATCAAATGTCGAGTGTTTTACTCGGGGCATTTGAAGAGGGCGATTAAACCAATTAGGCATAATTAAAATTTTAGTAATGTTTTTAGAATAGGGTACTTCCGCATAATACTGCGATATTGTACTTTTGGAACAAATGTCATTTCAAAGAAAAACATAAAAGAATCTACTTCTACTCATTATCTAAGTGGGGTGTAAATAACATTCATAATTATTGCATACATCGCAGGAATAGTAGGGCAATTTGTACAATCAAACTTATGAGGTTGAAACTTAGTTTTTACGAATTCCACCAAATCGGAGGAAGCTTCTTTTTTTTCCATGTCTTTTCATTTTCGTGGCATACTTAATTGAACATCTGGAGATACATCCCAGTTAGTGGGATTGTTAGTAGTAATTGTAACGCTAGTACTTGTAGATTCAGCGCCATTTCGAATAGTAGCCCTTCGTAACACTTCCACAAGAGGAAGCAAACAAAGCGGTAAGAAAGGCAATAAGGGCTGTAAGAACAGCTTTGCCAAGCTCAACGAGAGCAGATTTAAATTTAGGATTGTTAACACACATATGTAAACACAAAAAATAATATAAGTGCCAATAGGGATACTTCACGTACATAAGTTACACAATTTATAGTATGTTAATTTACTGATAGTAAACTATTTACACTTGTTTACGCTTAAGTTTTTTCAGTTGTAAACGATGCTTAAATATTTCCATATCTCTGGAGAAATCTTTTTTGAGATAAGTACCGCCTAACCCGTCATCAACCTCTTTAGAGTGAATGCGCCGAGAAGGGCAAGACCTTTTTGTATTTCTTTTTTGTTAGCTTCATAGGATGCCTGAAGTTCAGCCTTTAAAGAAGGGTCTATATGATTTTTTATATACGCATCAAAGGTAACACTTTTTGAATCAAAAACAAACTTATCTCGAATATTTCCGTCATTATGTATATATTCATTGAGGTATGGTATTGCATCAATACCAAATCCGTTACTTATTCGTGTCCAAGGTTTACGTACATCCCATTTGTAACGCTTACCTTCATCGTTACACAAACCTAGATAATACATGTCATCTTTAAGGACATACTTGGCAGCATATTGAACACGTTTATCGTTAAGCGTAGCACATTGAATAAAACCATATCTATCATTCCAATAATTACCCAGAACGCAAGATATCTCTTGTAAAGACACATCTTCTTTCATGAGAGAATCATATGATAATGCGGTCTATGTGTTTCCAGTACCATACTCACAACACACGAAGTAACGAAAGTGATATCCTCTATCGTCACGGAGATACTTAAACAAATTCTTGAGGTGTTTCGGCTCAAAACATGGATACCATTCGCCAGAGTGCTTATTAGGAGGTAAAGCCCAACACAATGCTTCATCATTATAGGTTAGAGTAAGGAAGAAGTTACGTCCACCATTCTTCTTGTTAAAGGCAGCAGCAAGCATAAATCTATCTCCCTTACTTTGTCTATAATTTTGCCTGCATACAGGACATTTGCCACATGGATAAAGCGTACCATGTACGTTAGTTGGATGCAGACAAGTAGCCATTACTGAAATGTTTGATAGGTGTTTCCACCTTTTATGTTAAACTTCATATTCATGTTAGACATAAGTATAAATCCTTCAAGCGCAGTCTGGCAGATTTCAGCAACCCAATCTGGCATACCAAGTTTCTTAATACGTTCGGATAAATTCGCTTGAATTGTTTTCGGATTGTATTCAACCGTACCAAGCATTTGCTGTTGAACATAAGGCCATACCTTTTCTTCAAATTCTTTTGTTTATCCGCAGGAAGACCACTTAAGGCGGACTGCATGCGATAAAGGTTAGCGAGTGAAGGCATAATATTGTTAAGTTGGTAATTACGCAAGTCACCGCTAGACTGAAGATTTGCTATCTGCCCAGAAGTCAAGTGTGCAAAAGGTGTATCCGCCCAATATGGAATAGTATCCTGCATTTTGAAAAATGCTTTTCCATTACGTGAATTCTCTGGGAGTCCTATAGCATGTGAACTATATTTGTTTACTTCGCCATTATTGTAATCGTAACCGAAGCCAAGAAGGTACATTTGTTTGGAGTTTTCCAAGCCTTGACTTATAGCCTTTTGACGCACTAATTCTCTATCAACCTCGGAAGATTGGAGATTGTTAGCAAAGCTTGCTATTTGCATAGTACCTTGAAGAACGCTATTTATAACATTCATCATAGAACCTTGTTCGGAATTATAGGCAGGAGCTTCTGGATTATTGAAAGAGGAAAGATTAGCGTCATTTCCAATACCTTCTGTATAGAATGGATTTTGACCAATAGCCTGCAAACGTTTCAAACGTTCAGCTTCTGAATTATAGTGCTGATTATAGTTGGAATCATACCAAGAACGATAACCTTCGTACCACTTCTCTTGTTGCTCTTTCCAAGCAAAGTACAAATTAAGCTCTCTATCGGACATTCCAGCAGTAGCCTTTTTTCCCCTGCAATTCTTGATAACGTTGTCGGGACGTATCTGGAGCAGCAGAGAGGTTATAACCACTTTTATAATCGGTATTGTAACCAAGATTAGAGTATTCTTCTGGCATAAGAAAAAAAAATTAAGTTGTAAATAATAGGGGGCTTGCGCCCCCATTGCCAACGCACATTATAGGCTAACGCACAGCGTATATTTTTTGACACTTACGTGTCATTTCGTAGGATATTAATCAAGTAAATATCCTACGACTCAGTTTGCGCAGCAGCAGCAGCTTCAGCTTCTTTTTCCTTCGCTAAAGCTTCGGCAGCAGCAGCTTCCGCTTCTTGCTGCATTGCAAACGCATTGAGGTCTGCCATTGTTGCCTGACTAGCAGCCAAACGAGCAGAACCAGCTTCTTCGGAATCATCGAAGAGAGGTTTGCCGACCATAGGCAAACCTTCTCCAGCAAGATTAGCTTCGAGAAGCTCGATAAGACTTGGAGCAAGTCAGGGATAGTGAGGGTAGTACCTTCTACCACATGAGCACCGAAATTAGTTTCGGACTTTGAATTAAGTTTATATTTCATATTGCAACGTTGTTTTTTTTGAAGCCTGCCTTGAGGGTCTATCGCAAGCGAAACGCCCTCAAGTACTGGGCTTCAATGTCCTTCGGACGGGGTGTATAGCGTCGAACTGCGTTCTCCGGTCGTGTTTCATTAGCTAGGTTAGAGAAACAACGCCTATTACGGACGTTTCCCTAGCGGGAAGCCGTTGCGTATACGGCTCAAACGCTATACGCGTTTGTGTACTAGTAAAGGTGCATCGAATCAGGCTCATAGCTGATAGGGCGTGACATCTTCATGTTATGGTAAACATCGACATACAGCGGGCAATCCTTTGCAGTCAAATCCTGCGCACTGAAAATGCGATTGAACTCGGAAACCTTCAAGAAGTTATCATTTAGCGGAGGAAGGGCAGCGAAGTTGCGGTTAAGGTGCCAAGCCAATTCTGGCACATTATCGCCACGAAAGTCACCCGTACAGCGAGAAGGATGCGAACGATACTCGGAATATCTAGGCTGATAACCCCACGTACCTTTATCGTTAAAGCCATCGCAAAACAGCTCTCATTGAGGACATCTTGCCAACCAATATTATTGAACTCTGGGGAAGCGAAATCGAAGATGTTCTTTTTGAAGAAACTGCGCTGCATGCCACGACAATAGCCATTATCTGGAATAACGGAAAGAAGTGTCATATAATAACCATGTTCCTCGAAGAACTCAGTACGTGAATGGGCATTGTCTACAGCTATACCTTTGCCAGCGAAATCACCAAGACCAGAGTTACCTTGTACATCCGTAGCGTTAGAGTTAGAAAGCACTTCGGAAATTTGAGTATATGATGATGAACCACCACAAAACATAGGTATTTGTATACGTTGGTCTGAATAACGCACACCATAGTGACCTGCAAGTTTCTCACGTATGCGAGTACCGAAAGTATTGTCCGTTTCAAAGTAACGCTGCATCATCTCTTTTTTCCAGAGATCACGTACAGTTGTCGTTTCATTCAACTTCGGATAAGATGAGTAATTAGCAAACAAATTACCAGTATTATGCTCAACTAATACAGATGCATCCTGAGAAGGTGTAATATCAACCGAAAAGGACGATTAAGTACATACATTTGAGGACCCATTCTGGGGCTCTGGACGTGCAGTATTAAAGTAGTCTTTTGTATAGGCTACATTGAACAACTGAATCTTAGCTTCTTGTCCATCTGGAAGCCACTCCGATGAAGGTAGATAATGACCCTCAGCACATGCAACACGATAAAGCTCTATAATCTCATCTATATCGTTCATAGTTGCCTTCTGGAGATTGCTATCGCAGTACCAATCACGAACAATACAAAGGTAAGACAAGAAAGGGAGAGGATTATCTATCATCATTTTATGAATCCAAATATCTTCATCATCCTGCGTAGTGTCACAAAGTCCATAGACATCATAACCAAGATAGTCGAAAATTCCGTTTATAAACGGATTAACTTTTGTGCCTGTAACTAAAGACACCTGCAAAGGCTGGATATCTACTTGACCATTGAGAAACTTCTCGTAGTTATCTTCGCCCAGAATGATGCGAAAAGGAGTGAAAAAATTGCTCGTCATGAATCTTCACACGATGCATCAAAGGGAATTTGAGAGGAGCGAAACGGATAAACACCTCGGTGTTATGTTTCAGCAGCTTGTCGGAAGGGATAATTTCCTCAACACCGACTGGAGTAAGGAAACCTCCACGCATAGAGGTTTTCAAGTCGTTAGACAAATCAAATGTCGAGTGTTTTACTCGGGGCATTTGAAGAGGGCGATTAAACCAATTAGGCATAATTAAAATTTTAGTAATGTTTTTAGAATAGGGTACTTCCGCATAATACTGCGATATTGTACTTTTGGAACAAATGTCATTTCAAGAAAAACATAAAAGAATCTACTTCTACTCATTATCTAAGTGGGTGTAAATAACATTCATAATTATTGCATACATCGCAGGGAATAGTAGGGCAATTTGTACAATCAAACTTATGAGGTTGAAACTTAGTTTTTACGAATTCCACCAAATCGGAGGAAGCTTCTTTTTTTTCCATGTCTTTTCATTTTCGTGGCATACTTAATTGAACATCTGGAGATACATCCCAGTTAGTGGGATTGTTAGTAGTAATTGTAACGCTAGTACTTGTAGATTCAGCGCCATTTCGAATAGTAGCCTTCGTAACACTTCCACAAGAGGAAGCAAACAAAGCGGTAAGAAAGGCAATAAGGGCTGTAAGAACAGCTTTGCCAAGCTCAACGAGAGCAGATTTAAATTTAGGATTGTTAACACACATATGTAAACACAAAAAATAATATAAGTGCCAATAGGGATACTTCACGTACATAAGTTACACAATTTATAGTATGTTAATTTACTGATAGTAAACTATTTACACTTGTTTACGCTTAAGTTTTTTCAGTTGTAAACGATGCTTAAATATTTCCATATCTCTGGAGAAATCTTTTTTGAGATAAGTACCGCCTAACCCGTCATCAACCTCTTTAGAGTGAATGCGCCGAGAAAGGGCAAGACCTTTTTGTATTTCTTTTTTGTTAGCTTCATAGGATGCCTGAAGTTCAGCCTTTAAAGAAGGGTCTATATGATTTTTTATATACGCATCAAAGGTAACACTTTTTGAATCAAAAACAAACTTATCTCGAATATTTCCGTCATTATGTATATATTCATTGAGGTATGGTATTGCATCAATACCAAATCCGTTACTTATTCGTGTCCAAGGTTTACGTACATCCCATTTGTAACGCTTACCTTCATCGTTACACAAACCTAGATAATACATGTCATCTTTAAGGACATACTTGGCAGCATATTGAACACGTTTATCGTTAAGCGTAGCACATTGAATAAAACCATATCTATCATTCCAATAATTACCCAGAACGCAAGATATCTCTTGTAAAGACACATCTTCTTTCATGAGAAGAATCATATGATAATGCGGTCTATGTGTTTCAGTACCATACTCACAACACACGAAGTAACGAAAGTGATATCCTCTATCGTCACGGAGATACTTAAACAAATTCTTGAGGTGTTTCGGCTCAAAACATGGATACCATTCGCCAGAGTGCTTATTAGGAGGTAAAGCCCAACACAATGCTTCATCATTATAGGTTAGAGTAAGGAAGAAGTTACGTCCACCATTCTTCTTGTTAAAGGCAGCAGCAAGCATAAATCTATCTCCCTTACTTTGTCTATAATTTTGCCTGCATACAGGACATTTGCCACATGGATAAAGCGTACCATGTACGTTAGTTGGATGCAGACAAGTAGCCATTACTGAAATGTTTGATAGGTGTTTCCACCTTTTATGTTAAACTTCATATTCATGTTAGACATAAGTATAAATCCTTCAAGCGCAGTCTGGCAGATTTCAGCAACCAATCTGGCATACCAAGTTTCTTAATACGTTCGGATAAATTCGCTTGAATTGTTTTCGGATTGTATTCAACCGTACCAAGCATTTGCTGTTGAACATAAGGCCATACCTTTTCTTCAAATTCCTTTTGTTTATCCGCAGGAAGACCACTTAAGGCGGACTGCATGCGATAAAGGTTAGCGAGTGAAGGCATAATATTGTTAAGTTGGTAATTACGCAAGTCTCACCGCTAGACTGAAGATTTGCTATCTGCCCAGAAGTCAAGTGTGCAAAAGGTGTATCCGCCAAATATGGAATAGTATCCTGCATTTTGAAAAATGCTTTTCCATTACGTGAATTCTCTGGGAGTCCTATAGCATGTGAACTATATTTGTTTACTTCGCCATTATTGTAATCGTAACCGAAGCCAAGAAGGTACATTTGTTTGGAGTTTTCCAAGCCTTGACTTATAGCCTTTTGACGCACTAATTCTCTATCAACCTCGGAAGATTGGAGATTGTTAGCAAAGCTTGCTATTTGCATAGTACCTTGAAGAACGCTATTTATAACATTCATCATAGAACCTTGTTCGGAATTATAGGCAGGAGCTTCTGGATTATTGAAAGAGGAAAGATTAGCGTCATTTCCAATACCTTCTGTATAGAATGGATTTTGACCAATAGCCTGCAAACGTTTTCAAACGTTCAGCTTCTGAATTATAGTGCTGATTATAGTTGGAATCATACAAGAACGATAACCTTCGTACCACTTCTCTTGTTGCTCTTTCCAAGCAAAGTACAAATTAAGCTCTCTATCGGACATTCCAGCAGTAGCCTTTTTTCCCTGCAATTCTTGATAACGTTGTCGGGACGTATCTGGAGCAGCAGAGAGGTTATAACCACTTTTATAATCGGTATTGTAACCAAGATTAGAGTATTCTTCTGGCATAAGAAAAAAAAATTAAGTTGTAAATAATAGGGGGCTTGCGCCCCCATTGCCAACGCACATTATAGGCTAACGCACAGCGTATATTTTTTGACACTTACGTGTCATTTCGTAGGATATTAATCAAGTAAATATCCTACGACTCAGTTTGCGCAGCAGCAGCAGCTTCAGCTTCTTTTTCCTTCGCTAAAGCTTCGGCAGCAGCAGCTTCCGCTTCTTGCTGCATTGCAAACGCATTGAGGTCTGCCATTGTTGCCTGACTAGCAGCCCAAACGAGCAGAACCAGCTTCTTCGGAATCATCGAAGAGAGGTTTGCCGACCATAGGCAAAACCTTCTCCAGCAAGATTAGCTTCGAGAAGCTCGATAAGACTTGGAGCAAGTCCAGGGATAGTGAGGGTAGTACCTTCTACCACATGAGCACCGAAATTAGTTTCGGACTTTGAATTAAGTTTATATTTCATATTGCAACGTTGTTTTTTTTGAAGCCTGCCTTGAGGGTCTATCGCAAGCGAAACGCCCTCAAGTACTGGGCTTCAATGTCCTTCGGACGGGGTTGTATATGCGTCGAACTGCGTTCTCCGGTCGTGTTTCATTAGCTAGGTTAGAGAAACAACGCCTATTACGGACGTTTCCCTAGCGGGAAGCCGTTGCGTATACGGCTCAAACGCTATACGCGTTTGTGTACTAGTAAAGGTGCATCGAATCAGGCTCATAGCTGATAGGGGCGTGACATCTTCATGTTATGGTAAACATCGACATACAGCGGGCAATCCTTTGCAGTCAAATCCTGCGCACTGAAAATGCGATTGAACTCGGAAACCTTCAAGAAGTTATCATTTAGCGGAGGAAGGGCCAGCGAAGTTGCGGTTAAGGTGCCAAGCCAATTCTGGCACATTATCGCCACGAAAGTCACCCGTACAGCGAGAAGGATGCGAACGATACTCGAATATCTAGGCTGATAACCCCACGTACCTTTATCGTTAAAGCCATCGCAAAACAGCTCTCCATTGAGGACATCTTGCCAGCCAATATTATTGAACTCTGGGGAAGCGAAATCGAAGATGTTCTTTTTGAAGAAACTGCGCTGCATGCCACGACAATAGCCATTATCTGGAATAACGGAAAGAAGTGTCATATAATAACCATGTTCCTCGAAGAACTCAGTACGTGATGGGCATTGTCTACAGCTATACCTTTGCCAGCGAAATCACCAAGACCAGAGTTACCTTGTACATCCGTAGCGTTAGAGTTAGAAAGCACTTCGGAAATTTGAGTATATGATGATGAAACCACCACAAAACATAGGTATTTGTATACGTTGGTCTGAATAACGCACACCATAGTGACCTGCAAGTTTCTCACGTATGCGAGTACCGAAAGTATTGTCCGTTTCAAAGTACGCTGCATCATCTCTTTTTTCCAGAGATCACGTACAGTTGTCGTTTCATTCAACTTCGGATAGATGAGTAATTAGCAAACAAATTACCAGTATTATGCTCAACTAATACAGATGCAATCCTGAGAAGGTGTAATATCAACCGAAAAAGGACGATTAAGTACATACATTTGAGGACCAATTCTGGGGCTCTGGACGTGCAGTATTAAAGTAGTCTTTTGTATAGGCTACATTGAACAACTGAATCTTAGCTTCTTGTCCATCTGGAAGCCACTCCGATGAAGGTAGATAATGACCCTCAGCACATGCAAACACGATAAAGCTCTATAATCTCATCTATATCGTTCATAGTTGCCTTCTGGAGATTGCTATCGCAGGTACCAATCACGAACAATACAAAGGTAAGACAAGAAAGGGAGAGGATTATCTATCATCATTTTATGAATCCAAATTATCTTCATCATCCTGCGTAGTGTCACAAGTCCATAGACATCATAACCAAGATAGTCGAAAATTCCGTTTATAAACGGATTAACCTTTTGTGCCTGTAACTAAA